CTTCAGCCTTGCAGAACAAAGTCTGGGCTGTTACTTCATGTTTCAGCAGCTTCTGAAGTTGCTGTGCCCTAGCAAATGGAAGTTTGCTTTGTATGCAGCAAATGGAAGTTTGTATTTGTTGTATTATGGGCTGAGTACTCTTTAATGACTCAGAAAGGTTAAGGGTGAAGATGTTGGGGCCCTGGAGAGGATAATTTTTAATAGAGTCCTCTGTTGGAAATCCAGGAGCCAGAACAGGGGTCATGTCTCTGAAGAGTTTCACGGACTCTGCAAAACTGGCAGTCACACTGACTGCCTCCCTTCCACTGGGCTCCTCCTGGAAAGGAATGAGCAGAGCCAAGGGAAAGGTTTTGTTGGGCTCTTTGGGAAATGGAGCTCTTCAGGCTGACTTCTGTTCCAAATTATGCTGTTTTCCAAAGTAACTTCTCAGCTTTGGTAGGGTTGTGCCAGGTGGTAGCCATTTGTGATGTGAATTGTAGTTTTAACATATCTTTCAAAAATTGCAGTACTACCATATGTATTTGTACTGTGAAAACTTAGGAGTGAGGGTTGGAGAAGAACCCTGATATGCTGATTTTTTTTTCTTTTGTGGGGCTGAAAGTTCAAAACGTTTTGCCTGGCATTATCAAACTCTTGTGTGTCAGTTCAATCTGGCAACAGAACATGTCAGCCAACAGAGTTCTACTGCTTCATGAAAATGTGTATGGGAACTGAAAATTTTTTAACTGAGATTGACCCCAATCTAAAATGAAATGTTTGGTTACAGCTTTTTATAGAAAATACAATGAAACAATTATTTTTTTTTTCCTTTTGGAAAAAATAATTTTCAAACATTTGGTAGGAAACCCTTTACAGAACAGATTTATGGCCTGAAGTCTTGTTCACAGTGAAGCTGGTGGGAATTTTGCTGTTGACTTTCATGTAGCCATTTTACTGAGGTTTTCTTTGCAGCAGGAGGGATTGCATGACTCTCTATCTGGAGGTATTAATGTAACTTCAAAGCTTCTTGGCCACTTCAGAAATAAAAAATATTCTTATATATCTCGTTGACTTGTTGGAGGTCTTGCTTCATTGAAGGTAACATAATTTTTTGTCCCTGTCCCAGAGAGCCACAAGGAGCTCAATCTATATTTGTTAAAATGGAGACCAGCAACATGTTCTTCTGATGTAACAGTAGCAGAGGAAAGGGCAAATGTCCAGGTTAGTGCTCTGCTTTGCTGGGCAGTTTTCACATCATTGCTTTAAAATGTTTGTTCTGTGGAGGAGAATCACTGCAGGTTCCAGATGTAGGTGTTTACGGGGAGATTCTGTTTCAGTGCAGTGCTGTGCATGATTCTGCCTGTTTGCCTGCTCCCAGTGCATGAGATGATTCACCTGCGCCTGGATTTTCCTTTCTGTATAGCAGATTTTATTAACCCCCAGAAGGCTCTATCTGGAAGCTGGTTTTCCACCCCAAACAGAGGTCTTACTATTAACAATATTTTTCAAGCATAGAGCAGTTCATTCCATTGCTGAGTCCTTTGTTACCTCTTCTTCACATGTGTCAAAGTACCAACAATAGTGAGAGAAGGAAGAGAAAGGACTGGAAGAATAGAGAGGGAAAAGGAGAACTCTGTGATCACTTTTCATGAGATACATACTTTTGGAAATTTGCTAAAATATGTTTGTAATGCGTTTCATAAGAAACATTAAATGAAAGTACAGTTAATCCTGGACTTAACCTACCCATTTTTCCTTGGATTTAGAGCTACCTCAGGGCAATCTTCCAGTTTTGCACTTCAAGCCCATCTCTACCTGCTTTACTGGCAGGTTGCACTGCACTGAGGATAGCTCTGTCCAGCTCTGTGTGGTAGATACAAAAAGAGCAGGACTTTCCATGGAAGAAGTGATTTCTAGGAGGGGCCTGAGAGCCGAGTTTCAAAAGCATCGTGTTCCCAAAGAAAGGCCAAATTTTTCAGAAGGGCTGAACAACAAGCACTCCTGCTGTGACAGATGGCTGAGTATTTCAAAAGATCTTGCTATTAAAGCTGGCTGGAGATTCTCTATTCTCTTGTTTTTGACAGGAACTTGGGTTTTCTGTTAAATACAATAATAGTGCAGAATGGACAGATTTTCCTTCCAGCATTCTATTTTTATGTGAGAGTTTTAATTGTTTTGGTCAGGGAAACTCTCACCCCTGTAATACATTGATTTACACTCGCTGTGCTGGAGAGCCATGTGACAGACACTTCCCAAAGTCTGATCCCAGGTTCTGACTCCTCAGTGGCAACAAAGCTGTTCCAAAACTCTGGCTGAACACAGGGGTGCTGTGTGTGATGTGGTGGGCAGAGCACTGCAGTGTGCTGCTTCCAGACTGGTTTTCTTGGGTTTTCTTTTAGGTTTCCTAGAGAGGGTTGAGTTTTGAGATTCTTGATTGAGATCCTGAACACAAGATCTCCAGTGAGTGATCTCCAGTCTTCACTTGTGCCTGCTCACAGGTAGGACTGGGAGTGAAAGGCAAGCCGTGTTTGTATGTAGCTGAACGGGCAGAAAGTAGGATCTTGGAACTTGAGGCTTTCTCAAAATGCGTGCTTTAACATTTCCATGATTTAACTTTCCCATCCATAAATAGGAAATAAATCCTCATCATCAGTGAAGGACTTAAAAGGTTCAGTGTTTATACATGCAGCTTTGGAGAAGCAGAAATACAAAAAAATCCTTTCATTTCACCTGAATGTCTCAAAGCTCTTTTAAACTGTTAATTAATTGAGTAGTCATAATGATGTGCCAATGGGGATGAAGGGGGTGGAATAATTTACAGGTGGGAGAAATGAGGCATGAATGACTTCCTAGCCTTACCTGTGCCACGCTGTTAGTCTGTGTCAGATCCAGACAGATACCTTCTGTCCTGTCTCCTTTTGCATCTGTGATGGGTGGCTGCAAGCATCAGCTTTTTCCCCTCCCTGTTTCTACCTCTTCTTCTGTAGGGAGCCCAGCTCCTTATCCCCAGGTTCTGTTTCATGGAAAGACAAGTTGTCCACGTGGCTCAGCTCTCTGAGGGAGCAGGCCTGGAAGCTGGGACATCTGTTTCAACTCCCAAGTTCCACCTACTGAACAGGACACAGCCAGAGTCAACTCCACTGCACGGGAGAATGGAGTAAATAAATGAAACTTCTGGGTTCTCTTAGAGCAATGGCACATTCTGCCCTGCCTTCCTCCTCCCGACCTTCTGCACAGCTGGATTATGGTGTGCTGTCCTCTGCACACCTTCCACAACAATTGAGTTTATACCTTTGCTGCACTGAGCAGAGTAGCTCAGGAATATCTGACCTGGCTCTGAAATACCAGCTCACCTCTGAGAAACAACAGAGCCCCCTTTGTCACTGCCTCTGTCTTGTCTGAACTCCTGTATCTGGGGTCAGTACACTTTTGTACAGAAAACATTGAATCTTCTGGTATATATGGAATAAATGAGCACAAGGTAAATTCAAATTGTTTAAAACTTATGGAATGGGCAGGATAAAATTACTGCTTAGGAAAATATCCAATGCATAATTTCATCTAGAGGTTGGCTGAGAATCCTGTTTAAACTTAGTTCTTAAACACAGTTGTGAAACTCATGAAGATGCCACATCAGTAGCTCACCCAACAACCTCGAGAGCCTCCTGGGAAGGTAATCACAGCACCAATAGTGAGCAGTAATTCTAACAGGTTGCTTTGCTTCATTCCTCTGGCTACTCCTTGTTGAGCTCCTGCAACTCCAGACATGAAGTTTTTCTTCTACCCAACATGGTTCCAACTACTTCTCCCTATCAGTTATTCCTATCTGAAAGGGAAAGGAAAAACACTGACATAAATTGCTGGACCCTGGAATACAAGTTTTTTTATTTAACTGACAGGGCTTATGGTTACCTTCAGACATAGCTTTTAAAGTAGTTTTTAGCTGGATGACAGAGATAAGCCCTCCAGGAAAAAGCAGTGGTAAAGTGGTGGGTCATTATAAATATTTTGTTCTCTCTGTAGTCATGTTTTTCATTCTTTTTCAGTTTATGTATCTTGTAAAATTTTTCCAGTAAATCTGCTACCTTCTATGTGGTGAATTTAAGCCTATTGATTTGTAGCTGTCCTAATTGCATTTTACAGAACCCCTGCTGCCTCTGGGACCAGAGCTTGAAAAGTCCTGTTTAGTGAAATGGATTGTCTTCCACAGGTCATTGACACCCTATATTCTGCCTTATCTAAATTAGGCAGTCTCCAGCATTCTCTGATCTAATCCCAAAAGTGGCGGCTGTGTGTTATGTGCAGATATAATGCTTACACATAAATTCCTATTGAGCAGTTGTTGGAAAAGGAGCTGAAAGCAGGTAGAGCTTGCCCTCCCAGCTCAGTGCAAAGCGGGATGCAGCGCCTGCTAACAGCTGGCTTTTCTGCAGCTCGGCAGGTGATGAGTTCCCACCACTTCAGGAGCCCACTGCCAATGCTTAGCACATGCTGCTGTGAGAAATCTCATCACTCAAAAGCGTCTCATAAATAATTTAGAGGAAAGCAATTAGCACACACAGCTGTAGCTGTTTGCAAAGTCACAGTTATACCTGCCAGGGCAATCTGGAAATGGAAATTTCAAAACCCATTTCTTGAAGTGGCCAGAATGGTCTAGCTTGGAGCTAAGGCTGATGGGTAGTTGTTGATGAGTAAGGAGCAAATTGCACTTTCATGTCTTTTTATGTGTAATGAAATCCAGGAGAGAATTTTAGTATTTTGTGCATATTGGGAAAGGGATCAAAGGGATGCATAGTTTTTAAAATCTCCAACAGTCAAGGCCTTATCCTTTCAGAAGCTCTGCAACTCATTCAGCTTCAGAGCAGGGGCACAGATTTTAACAGAGACTTGGACATGCATTTTGAAGGCATCAGCTAGTTAGAGTTTGTCTATATGTACAGACTGCTCAGGTAGGACAGGCAGGAGGAAAAGGAAGAAAATACTGTTTGAAGTGTCTCATTTGAGTATGCTTGCCTTGACAGATCGATGAGAGCAAATTGTTTGAGGACTTCTGGGTAATGATGAAAGGGAAGGGAACCTGCTCTTTAAAACTCTCAAGCAACTACAGGGAAGGTGTGAAAACAGATTTGTTTGTGCAGGTGAGTCCTGAAGAAGGGGTATCAAAAGAAGGGTATCAAACATTAAATCTAGAGATGACACAAGGCTGTGTAAATAGGGCACGTGTAAATATATTCTAGGAGAGGGTTAGAAGTCACCTGCCATGACACTACATTGGGACAAGGGACAACATAACAGTGCAAGATCCTCTCAGCATTTCTGATAGCTGTGCATTCAGTCACGGTATCTCTGCTAACTGAATGCCTAAAGATGTTCATCTTCACAGGATCCCCCCTTGGCTAGGGAATTCCTCTGCTACCAACTGGAAACTAAATCACAGTATGTTACCACATGAGGCAGTCCCCGTCCTAAACTCTGGCTCCTTCCTCTTTGTAAGAGGGAACACTGTATTGTGAAAAAAGCATTCAAATGTGGGTTGCTTAAAGTATGAATGATACAAAGCATTTCAACTATGCTTAAAGACCATCTGAATTAGAAAAGATTGGAGTTAGAATTTGTAGCAGTGGCATTATTTTATTCTGCAACTCTCCTGTGGAAAAACATGTCCCATTTCCTACTATTGTCTGCACCATTTGACCTGTTCTTCTGAATGCAACTGCCATCACCTGGCCAAGAAAGCAGCAGAGAAGCCCAGGAACCTGCCTGCCACTTTTGGGTGGTCAAGGCCTCCATCCAAGGAAAATTCCACAGGTGAGCCTTAGAGAGTAACCAAAGGCAGCAGCTGCTCATTGACTGAGAGCTGGAGGAAAATCCCTGCAGTCAGTCAACAGGCTGCCCCAGCTGCTCCGGCCTCACAGGGACAAGTGAGACCTCCTGTAAGTGATATTAATTGGAGTCTATCTAGAAATCTCTTACCATGGATTTTGTTTGACTGCAATGGGAACTTTAGCACGTTATTGAATGCATTATGGCAACCTACCTTCCTGGACTGCAATATGATTAGCTGTTAGTGTGTTTTGGTAAGAGGCTCAAGTATTTCGTTTGTTTATTTCTTTCATGTTTTTATACTTACTAGCTCTTAGTAGAAGTGGGGAATGTGAAGAATGTCCTTCAGAACTGCAGATGAATAATTGCTCAACAGCCAGAATTTCAGTAACTTTGAAAATCTTCCTTGAAATGAAATTCAGCCTGGGGTGAATCACTGGTCACTGGGGTGATTCTGGAGTATTTTGTGGTTTTTCTTCTTGTGAGTTAATCCAACTTTATTCCAATGTAACATGTTACCTAGATGGGATCATTGTGTGGCTGTTCTTAAGCCAACTTAACACATTTTATAAGATTCTAAATCATATTATCTTCTGGACCACAAATAAGTGATCCAGAAATGTAAGTTAAAATAATTATCTAACAGGCTTTAAATGAACATCTTTCCCTCCTATCCAGAGAAAAGTGAGGGCAGAATTTGCATCACTATTCTTAAAAGCCTGTAGGAATATTTACAAGTATCCTTCTTGAAACAAGTTGAGCCCTTGATCTTTATAACAATATTGCAGGTATATATTAACAGCACTGCAATGCAGAAATGTGAGAAACAACTAAAAATGTCAACTAGGTCAACTAAGGATGACTCAGGATTTTGTTCAAAACAACAGGCACAATGTTTTCATAATTCAAGAAAATATTCATTGTACAGGAGAGATTACTCCTGTTTTCAAAAAGGGGATTATCTGGCTACAGGGTTTGGCTGGGCTTTGCCAGTGACTGCCCTGTACATGAGGGAGGGTAAACATCTGCCTTAGATGGTTTCTCCTGGGTCCAGAGGTTACCACCTGAAGTGTCTTATCCCATCCCCGTGCTGGGAGCTCTGCAGTCTGGATTGGGATCTCTCTCCATTGTTTTTGTGATAAATTAGGGAAGAAAGAAAGAATCTGTTTTTCACTAAAGGTAGATTCATCTGCCTCATCTTTAATTTGTAGGAGCTGCCTGGGTGTGTCCATAATGAATGGAGAAGGAATGGTGTCTTCACCTGAAGATTCATCATCTAATCTAGATTTGATGACTTGCCACTGGAGGAGGATATACTTTACTGTACATTTCAGAAGTCCTGGCAGCAAGGTCAGACTGGATGTGTCTCCTTTTACACTGTCAATTTTGGTTAATACCACTGTATTTCAGCACAGGATATTTCTTGATATTTCCTGATATTTCTTGTGCTAGAAAAACTCCCTTAACATCGTACAGGTTTTGCTAGGGGTTTGTTTATGTGTTACTTGTGGGGTTTTTGTGTGGGTTTTTTTTTGTTTTGTTGGGTTTTTTTTGTATACTTGAAGAACACAAGGGATCCTTCAATTTCTTTTCTTTTCTTTTCTTTTCTTTTCTTTTCTTTTCTTTTCTTTTCTTTTCTTTTCTTTTCTTTTCTTTTCTTTTCTTTTCTTTTCCTTTCTTTTCTTTTCTGTAGAGATGAATAATCTATTTTATTTGTCAGTTCTAATTTGAAAAGCAAAGTTCATTCTGTGTCAAAAGCCTTAGGTATGGCAGCCCAGCTTACAGATGATATTGCATAAATGTCTTCATGGGATCCTGGGAAAGGCTGACATCTTTGCCCACGTCATTTTGACTGCCCCATTTGACCTTACTTTCTCCTAGTGGATTCTCCCAGGCTAAGAAAAATCCATAAACACAGCTGTCTTTAAATGGTGTGAAAACATGTAGGAAGGCCCCTCCAGCACTCTCATTTTTCTCTGGAAATGGTCTCGGCTTCTGCAGCCTCTCCAGAGAACAAAGATTTTCACTGACTCAAACATCCTCATTTCTGTCCTACAGTGCATGCTCTGTATCCTTCCCCAATTACAGTTCTGGTGCTGCAATACCTGGAGCTATGTCCTGCTTTAGAAGGAGTTCAGCAATTACAGTATTAGTATCATTTGGGGAAGCTGATAATAAAATCTCTGCTGGTTTTTACCTCTTTTTCTTTCAAGTTGCAAGAATTGCAACAACAGCTTGGTTCTTCTTCTAATTTATTCCTCATTCCATTTCACTCTTTTGTTTCTGATGAAACAACCCCTCACAATCTGATATCAGTGAACGCCAGCACAGTGTCAAAAGCAAGTCCCACGTCTGGCTGCCAAGCAAAAGACAAAATGTACCAGTGGGATGCTGTGCAGCAGCAGCACTTCCAGGAGGCAGCCTTCTTCCAGATCTAGCCCCTGGTGTGTCACTGCTAGAGAGAACACAACCAACATGTTTTAATGAGGAATATTGGCAGTTGACTGGAAAAGAAAAAACCATGTTTGTTCTTTCTGTATCACCATTTGGACTAGTGCCATTTATACACATTCAGGGGAGATTCCCACTGATGCTTCCAGCCTTGACCATTTCAGCCCCTGCCTCTGGTGGTCTCTGTGCAACTCTAGAGAAAAATTGTTGGGTATTGCTTCTCCTTTTTTTTTTTTTTTTTTTTTTTTTTGGGGGTTTTTTTTTTTTTTTTTCCTTTTTGTTTGTTTGTTTTTTTTTTTTCTCCATGTGGATAAATTCAATCATTCAGTTTCCAGCAAGCCTCATGGATAGTTGTAGTGGCATAACAGGAGACAGTGGAAGGGAACAGAGATGTAGGAGCAAAAAAGAGTGACAGGAATCAAGAAATTCCTCTGCTGGTTTCACTGCTTAAATAAACATGTGGGATTGTACCTAGAACTAGCTTTATATTACCTGTTGAGCAGCTGGTGAGCTGCAGAGCACAGCAGTGGTTACCTGCATGTTTTCAGAAGTGGACTCTGCAGCCTGTGTTGGTACCATGATGACACCACCTGTGGTGCCTGCAATAGCTCATTTCAATATAGCCTGTACATGGTCTCTGTGAGCTTTGGTCTGTGCAGACACACAGCAAGATACAATTATGGATTTCCATGTCCAAAGCTAAGCATTGTGTTAGGGCTGCCTTTCTTTCACAGCCCTTTTGCAGTTTAGTCTCGAGCCTGTTGACTTTAATCTGTTTGTTTTCAAAACATACCTGCAGGGCAGGCAAGCATCCCTGTCTGGGTCCTGTCAGTGAGATGTGAGGACACACTCAAAAGCAGCAAGGATCACTTGGGGCTTTACCAGGGTGAGGGCAGCCATCAGTGCCAGGAGAGCTGATGGGCTGTGTTGCTCCTCATCCCTCAGCACAAGGCTGGGGTATCTGTTCTTCACAGCTTCAGGCCCAAGCTATTCTGACTTGCACACAAAGTGGACAGAGAGCAAAAGCATTTTGTGCTCTGCAGCCTGGGCCAGGAGGTGACACTGTGGGGGAACCTCTCTCCCGAAATGCCAGATATATGGGGGTTCACCCTAGCAGCTTGGAGTGGAGCAGAAGATTGATGTCAAGGCACATCATTCTCATCCTCTCTCCCCCATGAAAATTAGCCTTGCCTCTGAAATCCTTGTCAATGTTGTAATTATGAAAGTACAGATATTTTAAATGCAGTTGGGTAAATGTGCGAGTCGTGGTGGTTCTGTGCTTTAAAAGCTCTCTCTGTGTTTATATAATTGGGTTATAATCATAGAGGAGGAACTGAAAGCCTCAAACTGCAGTGGTAAAAACTGTCAGAGGTGCCCTCACCCCCACCTCTGCCAGAAGTTGCTGTGGGTGAATTGTGCAGGCCATGGAGTGGCCCTAAACAAGCTATCAGAAGTCTGCCTTTAAAAGTTGTAGCTTTGGGGGTTTTTAAGCAGGTCACTTTGCAAATCCAGTTTGGAGTTTGCTGCATACATTGTATGCACAGTCCTTGCTCTGGGGTGACTGCATACGCTAAGATGTGCAGCTGGAAAATTGGCACCCCCTTAAGTGAGGTTTGTGAAGGTCTACATGGCTGTAGTGATATAAGGCTTAATCTTTATCGAGTCCATTGAATTTGGGGGAAGAAAAAATTACCCTTTTACTTTATTGTGACACAGAGATCAATGTTTAAATTCTAGAAGATTCACTTCTGGGATACGCTGAAGTGATCTTTTCAGAAGCCGCTGTGCACTTGTCCTGGGAGGAATAAGTGAACAAGTAGGGGTGGAGGCAGCAGAATCCTGGGCAGGGTCAGCAGGGGCAGAGCTTCTCCAACTGACTGAGATTCCCTTCTTTAACTGAGCAGGGGCTAAAAGTACTGAGGCAAGATTATGTAGTGGGGCTGTTTCCTCTTAGGGGAGCTTGGGCTACCTCTGCTGTGTTTTTGGTTCCTTCCCACCTCTTGTACCCCTGTGCCATAGAAGGATTAACCTCATGAAAATTCTTATGGCCTGAAAAAACTTCAGACTTCCAAAGCATAGGCCAAGGAGTAGCCACATTCCATCATTATGTACATAGTTCTGTTCAGGTTACAGTTTGCCTGCTGTGAATGTGCCTTTTTTCAAGTTTTTTACTTTGTTGTAATTTACCAACAATCCATTCCATGTATTTAATGAAAGTATGTGCTGAGACCTACAGACATTTCTGCCAGTATAGTCTTTACATCACAACTTGACGTTATGTGAAGGAATGTGCAAGTTCTCTGGAGTGGTCCTTCATTTTATTCTGATTCAGAAGTGGAAAAACAGGCAAGGACAACAAAGAGCAAATTTAATTTTCCTTCTTATACCCTGCCGGTTCGAATAATCTCTTGCTGAGTTTCCTGATGTGGCTGCTCACATTCCTTCATGAATTCAGACTGGCTGTTAGCAGCCTCCAAATAAAACATGGTTATATGGAGATTTACCTTGGCCCTGCTCTTGCTTGGCGACACGAGACACAGAGAGCAGCCAACTGGTTCAGTTCATGCTACATGTCCTCTTCCAGCAACTGCTTCCTGTACAAGCCCACTGGTCTGCAAATTAATGGGATTGTTGCTGTAGCTCAAGATGTAGGAGATTTAATTCTGGTGTTTGTGTCAGCGATCAATGAAGTCAGGAAACTGCCTTTACAGAGCATTCAAAAGCCCTTTTATTCCGAAAGAATCAAATCCAGGCTTCTGTTAAATGCAGTAAAGGCTGCCATCATTAAAACATTGAGGCTGCAAGTTTGGCCACAAAAATGTTACCGTAATGCAGTTGGTATTCAGTCCTTTCTGTCAGCGTTGCCAAGTCCAGCTTTTATTTATTTATTCATTTTCACAAGTCTCATGTTTTTCAGGCATTCCATAAAGCCTCGGTGTTTACAGGCATCTTACTCATCTGAGAAGCTCAGCTTCCAGTTTTTAAAGATCTGCTATTAGTCCTCACGGACAGGGAGGAAGCAGGAACGTGTGATGAGGCTGATCCTCACAGGCAAAACCAGAAGGCTCATAAAACTCCACATTTAAAAAGTCAAATATGATTTTTTTAAGAGGATCTCATGAACTGGGTCTCCCATTTATGTGTCTCAAGTGCCTGGCATAGACTCTACTAATGATGGCTTGGGTCAGGCCATGATGTGAGTGCAGAGGTGCTGCTAGATGCAGAGAGCTCTGCAGCACTCAGATGGATTGGGGGAGGAATCCTCTTTCCATTTATTATATTCCTGTTTTAACTTCATGGCCTGAGCCTTGCCCTGTGCACCCTGTTTACTGTGTGTTTCATAAAGGCCAGAGGATTCATCCTGTTGCTCTGAAACTGTTTAGCCCATCTTTGGCTGGATTTACTGTTCAGGAAGAACAAACGGTTGCTTAGGAAAGTGCTGTATTTAACGAGAGAGACGGGCTGGACTTTTTTCAAACAAACAGATAAAAGCCAGCAACTCTGAGTTTGGCATGGACTTCGCCGTTTTGTTTGTTGCATCACCCCATTGTCTTCTCTATCCCTTCTTTTTTTAAATTTCTTTGTTACAGCATTTCACAACCCACAGCCTGGATACGGTAATTCCTGAAGGAATGCACAGAATAATGAATACTGCATGATCACAAAATAGTTCACCTCGTGCAAAGCCATAGCAGTAAACGATGCAACATGGCTGTTCCCAATCATCCCTGCTTCACTGGTTTCTTTTATTTGGACAAATTCTTTCAGCTTCTCCTCACAGGGGCTACTGAGTGAGGGAGGAAGTGTAACCTTTCTCCACCCAGCAACAAAAATGCAATGGTTTTGGAGCACTTCCCATTTCCATGATGTCTCTGTACAACGCAGCACAGAAGTTAAAC